AAAGGCACCAAGGGCCTGATCTATACCCCACTGGGAAGGATTCCTGTTGATTTTTGTGGGCACTGAATCAGAGCCCCGTTCAGAAAGGAATAAAATATGTGTTTAACAGTCAGTTCAATGGGACATCTCCTGTGCTTAAAGTTAGGCACATGCTTAACGGCTTTGCTAAATCAGGACCTAAAAGAGAAAAGGGAAAGACCTGGCAGACCCATAACTCTGCTACTGGTTGCCTTCTGTCCTTCTGTCCGATTTAACCAGGACTTGATGTGGGGGTTAGAGGAGGGCACCATGGTGCACTGGCTCCTCCTTGGGTCCTCTTCTAGCCACAGCTGCCCAGCCAGCAGCAATCAGCCATGAGCTCTGCTGCTTGCTGCTCAGACCCACCACTGCGGGAGGCTGCTGTCCAAACACCGGGCCTGACAAAAATCCAAGCATCCTTAATCGGAAACCACCTGTTTCAGTGCTCCCCCTCCTTTTGCTGGCCATTCTTATTCATTCTCCTCCCTCACTCCCATGTTCTACCTTGTTCCTGTGAAACCTTCCTTGTCCTCCCCATCCATCTTGTCCTCCCTTCCCAGGCTTTGCCTTACTAAGTGTTAAGAAGTTTCTCCCTCCTCCCATGCTAAAATTACCACAGCGCCTTGCATCATCTCTGGTGTTTATCTTCCCACCCACTCAGACTCCAGCACCTGGTCTTTCACTGTCCCCTCATGCTATTGATTCAGATTTTTAAGTGGCCACTTAGAGTTCTGGGTCCTGCACATGCACACACACTAAAAACAGATTCCCCAATGCTAGATAACATTTCCCAGGTCCATTACCCAGTTCCCATGAAACATTTTACCAGCTATCTTTAAAATTTCACATTAGGGACATCCTTGTGAATAATGTCAGCAAATGACAAAGCAGCATTAAACATACAACCAGCTCAACAACAGGCTTGGTGTCCGCTATGGAAATACTACAGTAGTCTATACTAACCATCCAAAATACAGTAGCAACATTAATACAAGAAGGAGTGTTTTGGACAATTACTGTAAGATGTTGCAGTTTATTTATTTTAATAAGGCATGACCAGCTTTTTTTCTGATACACTATTTTTTGTTTTATTTAAGAATTATTATTTATGTGATTGCAGAAGGGTACACAATAAATACCAGTGTGTTATGCCAAAATACTGGAACTTTATGATTGTTTTATTCTAGTTGGGTACTAATAGCAACATACGCACCCTTGCAATACATTTATACCAAAAATCTCCAAATGCTTTCCAATGCTTGGATAACAATAACACTGAGGTACAGATGGGAAAACTGAGTCACGTGTTGATTAAATTATTTGCCCAAGTGTCACAACAAGTTTGGGTACAAAGTTGGAAGCATAATCCAGCTCTCCTGCTGTTACCACTAGACTAGCAGGCTCTCATTTCTTCATACTAGCGTTGCATTTCAGCTAAAATCTGAAAATGTTCTGAAAAATCTAATTCTTCATTCCTGTCCTTCCCCTTCTCAGACTGTAGTTTTACCAAATACAGAACACTTTCAGCAAAGAGAAAGAAGCAGTAAAAGGAACTGAAACAATGGAACTACAAAGTGAGTGGCACTGAAGTTATGAAATATATAATGTAGCCAATCCAACCATTTAAAAATATTGGATCTTCATTGCCTCCAGCCCTAGTTAAGAGAGAATTTTGTCCCTGAGAGATTTAAAATGCGGCTGCAGACAAAAGAAATCAAATAGACTTGTTTCAAAACATCTTTAAGTACTGATTCTCCAAGGCATTGAGCACTCTATTTATTATAGGTATTTGTCTGCCTTCCATCACTTTGGTAAATGCATACTGAACACTGTCTTTAATCTATTTCTGCTCACAACACTTCTGTAAAATAGGGAAATGCCTATGTGCCCATTTCACAGACAGGAAGTAAAGTGATCAGAGAGTCTGAGTGACTTGCCTATGATCACATAGCCTCTGGAGGAGCAGGGAATTGCCCCCCGGTTTCCCAAGTTCTGGACTAGCACCTTAACATTTCTTTATTTCTCCTTCCAATCTCCAT